TTCTTGAACAGGCGCACTCTCCTTGACATTGTCAAGGTCTGTTTTTTCACCACTTGACCCAGTGGCCATAACAGTGGGCTTGACATCCGAGAGATAGCACTCTCGGGCCATCCTCTGATCTCCCCTTAGGGAGCCGACTGTTCCATTATCCCTCTCAAACTTGAGCAACATAAGAGACGGGATTATAACAGCCTTGGAATTATTCAGGGTTGGTCGACCCAGAATCATGTTGTAGGCCGAGAGTTCCTCTACTACTAGGAACCGGACTACCATGTGTCGTCCTTCCCCTTTTTCGCCCAGGCGAATGGGTAAATCTACTCGTCCCAGTGGGTGGACGACTCCTCCTCCAAACCCTATTAAAGGGTGGGAGGCCGGATGTAGGCAGTCAGTCTGATATTTCAGTTTCGACAGACATTTGCTGCTGATGAGATCTGAGGAGCTCCCGGTATCTATGAGGATTCGGCCAACTCTCTGGTTGGCCACTTTACATTCAATAACGAGAGGGTCGTCATGCGGCCCCCTTACCCCTCCTATATCCTCTTCAGTGATGACAATCTCAGGAAATGTATATTTGGACGGCCGTTCTTGGTGAACGGAATTTACATCTAACCGCCTTATATTATCTTTGTTGCCCCTAATAGTGGGGCCGCCTCCTGAGAAGCCGCCTGCAATGGTGTAGACGACTGCATCATCTGTATCGGAGCTGTCGGCCTGTTGATTATTTTTGGCCGACAGCTTTTTTGAGGAAGTGTTCCCCGTAGATTTCTTGACATAAGTGTCAAGATCACCTTGCTCAGCCAGGCGGTCTAGGTACCGCATGAGACTGATGCAGTCATTGGTGTGATGACCAACGTCATCATGATAAGCACAGATTTTATCTTGGTTCCGGTTGTTTGCAGAACCTTTCATGGGGACCGGCTTCTCAATCGAGATCCGTCCCTTGATTTCTTTTAGGATAAACTGGTTATCCTTGTTAAACGCATACTTTGGGGAGTATGGTTTGAATTCTTTTTTCTTTTTCTGGGCCGGCTGTTTAGAGGAATCAGCCGCCCAGACCTCTTTTCTTTTCTCATCTTTGTTTGACGACTGTTTCTGTCGTCCTTCTCTTTTGTCGAACCTTTTCCCGTCCGACTGTTTTATCGTACACAGATCAGTCGCCTGTATATAAGCTTCTGCTTCAATCAAGGCCTCTTGAAGAGTCGCCACCCTTTTTCGAACTAAATCAAATTTGAAGGTAGACCCGTCTTTGAGACCTCTAAAAAAGTCGGTATAAGCTACCTCATCCGGTAACCCTTGAATCTGTATTCTCATCAGGTTAAACCGCCTGATGTAAGAACGAAGCCCCTCCTTCTCGCCCTGCTGAATTGTTCCCAAATCAAGGGTCGTTTTCTTCGCAGGGATGTTCATGGCGAAGTTGGAGGCAAATAAGTAGGCAAGCGTCCTGAAGCTATTTACACAACCAGTCGGCAGGTTGCCGAACCATTGCTGTGCGATTCCTTTGAGAGTCGCTGGGAAACACTTGCACCAAGTGGGATCATCCAACCCTTGAAGGTACATCAGGTTGGTGAATGCCATCATATGGTCTTCTGGGTTAGTAGTGCCGTCATAGGCGCCTACTAGTACATTTTTCACTTTGGCCGGCTGAGCGGCTTCAGTAATTTCCTTGGAGAAGGCCGACGGCTGTTCACCAAGTCTTAGCAACCGTAGCTGCCAGTCCATAGGTTGGACGTTTTTTGCTGTAGGTCCACCAAATGGAGGTGGCTGCATAAAATACTGTTGCGGCACAAATGGTAAGTTTGGTACCGCCTGGGCACTATGAAAGCCGGACTGACGGGAGGTGCCGCCTGACTAACTCTCATGGTACGACTGAGTATGCCTTATCGAGGCATTTCGCAAACTGTCTTGAAAGTCTGAAGTAGAAGCCGACTCTGACAATCGGTCACTCTTCTTCTGCTCTAGCAGTAGCCGAGCATCTGTGAATGTTTGCTTTGACCCGTCCGCCTGAATATGACGAATCGGTTTCCTATTTCCTGTAGGATAACGGAATTTTGTGAAATCAAGGGCAGGTGGCTCCCGCTTCCTAGATTTAGGATGAGGAGTCGCCTCTCGCCCTTGAACTGGCTTCCTCTTCAGTGAAGTGGAGGGTTTCTTGGCCGACTGCTCCTTGACTGAAGCAGGCGGCTTCTTGTTGATCAACTCTTGAATCTCTCCCTTGAAGTCCCTCATGAAGGTCATGAGTTCGTTCCTTGTGATGGGAGCAGACCCATCAGTCGGCTGTTGCCGAACAGGCGGTGCGCCTGCCGGCTCGCTTCCTGTTTGAAGATGCTCCCGTTCCCTCCTTTCGGTATGACGGGTACGTCGGGCCCTTAGGGTCCCGTCTGGAGCTGTATGAGTTTCAACTTCAAATTCACTTTCGGTGTCATGGTCCGACTGAACTTGAGGGTCGTCTAGGGGACGCCTCTCTTCAGGAGTCGGTACAGACTTGGATGCCATCTCTGAAGTACTCTCCCCACAGACGGCGCCAAATGTTTCGGGGTCTTCTGATGTCCTGCGGGAGAGTTACAATTCCGAGACTGGAACCGGACGCCTGTACCTGCAAAATAACGGAGACTCCTGGGAGCTCCGCCTCCAACGGTCAAGTTAGTACCTGATTAAGGAGTAATTAATGCGGAAATTAAAGTAATAAGGTCTCTCTAGGTGAGAGTGTTTAATGTTGGTAATCTGCTTTGTTAGCGAGATCAGCCGGTTATTAGTGTGTTCCGTAACGTTTCTGTTCTGTCTCCCCCAACTTAATGAGGATTAATTAAGTATTTATAGTCTTGAGAAGCGTGCCACTCTCTAGGTTTAGGGTAAACCTAGGGCTGACCGGGCCTCTAAACAGGATTGGGCCTTGTTGGCCGGTTTTCCCATTTGGCATGGGTGGACACGTGGCGTGTCTCAATTGGTCCGTAGAGGACGTATCTGTGATTGACACGTGGCAGGCTCCTATTGGCCTACGTGAAGGACACGTGGCGGAACCTGGTTGGTCCACTTGTCAGACGGTGATTGGTGGATAAAAATCCCCTAATCACTAACGAATAGTGAATGAATTATTTAATTATAAAAATTTGGATTGTCCTTCACCTAAGGAAAAAAATGATACACCTCCTTGTAAAAAGTAACAAAGTATAAAAAAAAATTGTATAATCACATTTATTATTAAACGATAACTACTTATAAAATTACAATTGTTAATTTTATAAATGATTTTGGTTCTTCACTATTTAATTTGAGCCCTCCAACTTTAGTATTATCCATGGTATTATTGGGTGGTTGAATCAAACATGAGGTATTTCAAAGCTAAATTTTAAGGTGGATTTACTTGGGCAAAGCTTGCTTGATAGGGAGAAATACCGTGTCACAAATCGACAATTATCATAATGTGTTTGAATTCCATCAAGTTTTTGGAGTTTATTAATTACTATGTTAATTGAAATTAAGACATCATGTTTTTCAATCTTTGAAACATTTGTAGTCCATAACTATGATAATTCAAATTGAAATTAAAACATATAATGGGCAATAATTTTCAATTATCTTATTAACGAAATGGTTATAAATTTGTTTGTGATTTGGTAACAGTATGAATTTAAACAGTATTGGAAACCTGTATTATAGTTTGCAAATAACATCGATGTGTTCTATAAGTATTTAAAGCATCAATTTGTTAACATGGTAATATCTCGTAATCTTGGTTACAACTGCAATGTATAAACCGTATTCCATGCATTTAAGTCCCGAGTTCGAATCTTATCTTTGTTATTTATAAGTGCCATTTTTTTAATAGTATTTCCATCATTTGTTTAGTAACTCTAGATATTATACTACATATAATATAGGTTTCATTATCAAGTTACTAATATATAGTGTTCAAGATACTTTCAAATTGTATTTGTTATTAAATTAATATAAACATTTTAACATCACGTAGATTTCGATTCTTCTTCTTCGTCGAACCAAATAGTGAATTTTAACCAGAATTGTACAATTCCAGAAGTTTGTCAAAACCAAATAATTAAATTTAAATAACACAATATATTTGTAAGATTCAAATTAAACAACCACGAAGATTATTGTCGGACTATAAAAAACGATAACAATAATAAAAATTGAAATTACAACAGTATAGTTCATTGATTTTATAACATTACATAAAAGATGTTTTACTATAGATGGAGTGTGGAGAATGAAATATTGAACAATAGGATCTTGAACATCAAAAATATGAAATACATTGTTGAACACCAGTGATTTTATTAAACAACAAAAAAAAAAATTTAAAATACTTGGCCGGAAAAGCTGCCATGTTAATGGCTTCCTTTAAGATTTTTTTTTTAAAAAAAAAATTGAAGATGAAAGTGGGTGGGAAAGGTGAGACCCACGATCTTTTAGCATTAGCGCCAAAGCATTTCTCCCCCCTAATATACCAGTTTGGCGGTAAATGGCTGAAATTCCCCCCCCCCCCCCCCATAATTTCCCTCTCTTTTATTTGGTAGATGGTGAGGTGTTGTGTTTTTTTTGGAAGTGTATGAGGGCTACACATACACCTAGTGTATGCGTAGCAGCTCGCGAGTTACCACCACTATATAAGGCTCAAGGGCTACTCCCATCATTGCCATATGGCTTTGAGGTGAAACCCCCTTGGTCTTGTAAAAGTCGTGGACTTGCACTCCTCTATGACGGGTGCAGCCAATCCAAACTCGTATTTAACAGGGGATGATTACTAAACTAAAAAGAAAATTAACCAATTTGAAATTGACACGCCGCTCTAATTACTTGTTAAGCAGGTAAATATAAAACTAAGACTATTTTGAGAAGACTAGTCTTTGAAATCATAGGTTGGGTTAGAATTATGCATGGTTGGTTTGAAATGATGTCAAGTTAAAATCAGGTCGGGTTAATATCAATTTGGGTAAAAAACATATCAGATCAAATTGGTTATTTGTCGTGTCAATTTATGGTCGGGTTGGGTTTAGGTCGGTTCAAATTGGTTTGATTAGAGTTCAACTCAGGTCGAATCATTGTTGGGTTAAATTTAGATCGGGTCAAATTCAAAATCGAGACGGATGGTTTTCTCAAGTATCGGGTCGATTTTGACACTTCTACCACTTCTCTAATCCTCTACAATACAAGTAGTACTTCGTATAGAATCATCGCGGACACCGCCTTTCTCCTTTCCGTCCCACAAAATCAGGTCGCAAAATCGCAAGTGTTTTGTCAGCGAGAAGGTTACTCCTGAATTGTTCGAATTGATTAGGGATTTTGATCAGCGACGTCTCTGTTGTTGAGGTTAGGGTTTCAATTTTAATCTGAAGCAAAGCTTAGGATTTCAATATCAATCAGGTCATCAGAAGCCTTGGATCACAGGTTAGGGTTTCGGTTTCGGTTTCAAGCGATTTGATTTTGTTTGGCAACACAATAATAGATACTATATATATAATTTCTTGTTGAATACTTTTTCAATTCTGTGATTGATGTTAAAATCCTGTAAAACAGGTTTATTTTCTGGAGATGACTGTTTGAGATTGGGGGCAAATTGATGTTTAATTCATAAATCAGGGATTAATATGGATTCGAGTTTCACTCTTGATTTTCCTAGTCCTTCAGCAAAAAAATTGAAATTAAGTGATGATGAGATTAATGTTGAAGGTTTGTTATCCTGTATTCGTGAGTTGAATAACCTTGAACGAAGGAATGGGGAACTTGTTGAATTTGACGAGACGCTTCGTGGAAAATATGTTTTGGTTTTTTGTTTTGAAATGCCTCCATTGTGCAAGGACCAAGATTTATATTTTCCGTATGATCTCATAAAAACATGTTTGGAATTGTATTACCTGAGAGACGATTTTGAGTTGGTGGTTGTTTTGAAAAGAAGCCATTCACCCGTTGCTTTTCTCAATTTTTTGTACGACTTCCCACCTCAGTCTCTTGCAGTACCGTTTGAGTCTAAGTATCGTAAGTTGCTGTGCGACTTCCTTCACCTTGATCGCCCCGGTTTTAAATGTCTACTCGTCAATGTCGAGAAAGACATTATGCTCCATGGTGATCTTGCAATAGAGCATCTGCAGTCGCTTCTCCCAGAACAACCATGTAAAATTAGCAGGCTTATAAAAGCAATGTGGCCTGTCATCCCCGAATTGGCGAAACATCCCACCCTATGTGAAGATAGTTGTCCTATAGCCGCACAATATAAATTGGTCAAACCTGAGTATTCTGATGATATAAATATGGTGGTTTATGAATAAAAAAAAACCTGTCCCATTCAGATTGGCCACTCATTTGATGTTGTATCTTTGTTGTCATCAGGCAAGGGTGAGTTGAATTATCTGCATCGAAATGGTGGTAACCAATCTGTCCAAGTGATAGAGGAGACATTCAAAGGGAAATACGTCATGGTTTGTTGTTATCACGTGCCTATATTCCGTGAAGAGTCTATTTCACTCTATGTGCAGGGTCTAGTAACTACGTGTTTCGATTTGTATTCCTCGAGACAGGATTTTGAGCTGGTAGTGGTTGCAAAGATGAATAAAATGGTCAATTATGAGGCGGTTTTCAACCACTTTTTGTCAGGATTTCCTGCTTCATGTCTCGTAGTACCATTCAGCGACTCAAAACGTCGTGACTTTATATGCAAGTACCTTGACCTGGATCATGGTTGTAATTGTCTCATTCTGGATGATAATGGAAGTGTTTTGCTCCATGAACATCCTAGTTTTGTGAGGTCGTATGGAGCTGATGGCTTTCCTTTTACGCAAGAGCATCGGCATAAGCTTCGCTTAAAAGACTTGGCATTGTTGAAAAGTCTCTCTACATCCAATCTTGAGCTACTTTTGCAGTGCAAGCCCTCTGATGTTGTTGACAGAATTAATTCAGCAGGTGTCCGGGAGGTGAAGACTATCTCAGAACTTAGCACAAAGCTTGTTGGGTTGTACTTGTGCGCCAAAGGAAATTTCATTCCCACGCTTGATGAGGTTTATCAACAATGCATAACTAAGCATCTGGAGATTGAGATTGTGGTAGTCTACATGCCCTTTGGGGATTGTCTTGATCCACAGGCTTACAAGCTGAATATAGATACTAAGTTAAAGAGGAAGAAGATATATTGGTGGCGTTTGTCTTTTGACAACTCTGTAAGCCTTGGAATCAAACGGCTAGCCAACGCTTCTATGGATAAGCTGATAATCATGGGACCCCGAGGTGAATTTGTGGATCTATATGGAGAAGAGGTCATGAGCTATTATGGAATTGATGGATATCCTTTCACCAGGAAGGGGCTTGTGCACAGAGAATTGAAAAAGCTCAAAGAAGTCACCTTAGAGTCTTTGCTGGTCCATGGGTCACGCGATTTTGTCCTTCAAGGTGATAATAGAATTCCTGTGGCTCAACTCCAAGGAAGGTATATACTGATTTACCTTGACTGCCTTTATGATTTTAAGTACTATGAAAATATGTTGTTCTGGTATTACAAGATGAAGGAACTGAGATTTGATTTTGAAGTGGTGTTTTTACGCCGGGTGGATGATGATGATGATATTAGTGGTATAGAAGTAGGTTTTGATGATTTAGTAATGCCTTGGTTGGTATGCCCGTTTGAGTTTGACCACTCGGCTTCCGTAAATAAGAAATTATTCACTCAGTATGAATCTCATGATACCCTGGTTCAATTCGGACAAAATGGTCAGATTTCTGCTTTTCCTACTCTAGAAGATCTACCCTCGTTCACTTTTGGTACCAATGATTTTCCGTTTACTGGATTCAATTTACGTGATTTTGTCACGTGCCAGTTTCGTGAAGATTTCATGAGGTTTTAACTAGTTACAACTCTTCCTTTCTTTTAATTTGGATAATGTCAAATGTTAATGTAGCTCCTTAGTTCGATTTCCTTTCAACAAGACTTGTAATTTGGGCAATGTCAAATGTTAAGGTTTGGTGAACTCACGTCTCTTTAAGATTGTTCATGTTTGTTGTTAAAACATATGATTTCAGTTAGATAAAACAGAGGATTCAAGTCACACTTTACAGATGAACTCTATTCTTTTCCTATGTTACTCGGACTCTTTTATTTTACCTTACGTGTCCGTGTCGACACCGACACTTGGACACTTCATTTTTAACTAAAAACACAACTTTTTTCAAGAAAATGGGCGAGTCCGATGCTTGGACACCCATGTCTAATTTGACACTTCATCCGAGTCCAAGTAACATAGTCTTTCTCTATCCTTCTGTTTGATCATTATTCTCCCTCTTTAGCTCTACATCCGCTGCTCTCTAGGATGTTTGTTCATACATTTTTTTTTGATGAAAAACGATGGAATTGCATGTTGGGGTGTGTTCTGACAGCAGCAGACTAGCAGAGTACTGGTAGAGATTTTGCATACCAACAGGTTATTTTCTGACAGCAACATAGGAAGGATGCTTGTTAATACAAATCTAATTGTATTAATACAATACTCAAGTTCAAAATAAATACCCCTTTGTTTTTTTTAGAATCTGGTATTATATCATCAGTATACTACATCCCTTTTTCTGTTTCAAATTATGTGCAAGAATTGTGAGAAATAAAAAAAAATTAAATAACAACTTCAAAGATAATCATTTGCTTATTATCATCCTCAATTGGACTCTCAATGTAACTCATAGATTGCAGTCAGTCCTCATGAAACCCAAAATACCATGAGTCAAGTGTCCCCCTATTTACACTGGTCACTCCATTACTTGAAGAAATCTGCGTTCTGAGCCATTGCTGGTGATGTTGCTGCTGTGGTTGCTAGTTTTGCTATTGCTGCTCCTCAGGTTGCTGACTTTGCCCGTGGAGAGCAGATAATGTGCTGGTTTTTCAAGGGTCGTTGGTCAAACATTTTGCAACAGTAACAAAAAATTTCTACAAATCTAACCATTATGTTACTTAACGAGAGTCTCTTCATTTTTCATGGGTACAAAGGGACAAAGACGGGTAAATTTGGCTTTCGGAGTCTCTTAAAGAACTTTCTAAACCCCTTATTGAAGTATTTGGTTTACATCTATGTAAAACATGGAATCAAATTTGATAATAAGCACATGAAGGTACAATAGGTTACTCAAATTTCATGAACACAAATTCTTCTTATATAGATTTGTTTCGGTAGTTAATCTGAAATCAGGGAGGGGGAGAATGGGAGATAGATGCTGTACATAAGTCGCCGAAAAACATATAAAGAGATGTGTACATTTCATGGGACAGGTGATATTCCCTGTTCTCCAGTATATAAATTAAATGAACTTTGCAAGGGACCTATTTTCAAGTATCTAACCTGGAATAAAAGAGAACAACCACCCAAATCTACAAAAAGAAGATGAAAATACAACAAACTAGAGAAAAGGAATAAAGAGTTACTGCCCCTTTCTAACCCAAAATGTGTGAAAAAATTCCTTCTCTAACTGACCAAATTTATATGCTCTTCTGCAATGTTCTGTCAGACATCAGCACAGCTTGTAGGTGCATATCCTATCCTAGATCGTTTAGTGTCGTACAACATGTGAAAATTCTGCTGCTGATAGTTTCCAATTATAGAAAAGGCTGATCTTTTCGTGCCCATCATTGCCAAACACACCACCTCCTGATCAATCCTTATGAAATAATTCTGAACAGGAAAGTTCCACTCAGCGCCGTCACTGAACTGAATTCTGAAACTAGGCATCTCAAGATCATTATTCTCCACCCCAGATACATTATAGCAAGGACTTAGGATAGGGAAGTCTGAAACCAATGGATACTTATTGATCTTCTTCATGAACGCGGATTTAATGACATCATAAGCTGGTTCTACAAAATAGCTGAGAGTGGTTCCTGAATCAACAATAGTTCCACCACCACCATCCTCCATGAAATCCCACATTTCCTTTGGTATGTTCAACATTTCACCTCCAACTGAGACCGATTTTATCTCCACATAGTAAAAGGTATCAACTGGATTATCTTTACCATTTACTAGCTTAGTGAATTTCAATTCCGGGTGGTTCAAGAGATCCTTATCCTCCCCGAAGATCAGCTTGCTACTAACACTAGGATCACTATTTCTGTCCACCAAACAATATGAAAACGAATGTCCATATATTGATTGCAACTGAGAGGAGAATGACAGCGGCCCCTTTCCAAGTCCTAACAACCCTGCAGCTCCATGGAAGAGACCGCGGTTCCAATGTCCACAACCGAACATTACATTATCCACCTTCTTAAACTCTGAATCCCCATTTGGAGATGTCAAGTTCACTGTAAAAGTCTCAAGGGCAAAATCCCCTGTGGTGTTCGAACTGTCACCATACCAATAAAAATACGGACAGCTTTGGTTTCGACCTTTACAAGGCACTGGAGGATCAGGTGAACTAACAAGATCACACCTAGGGTCTTGGCAGCTAATATTCTTAAACGACAACGAATCCTTTGGATCATAATGAGGCCCGTTCTGCTCGAAACAATCATAGCAAGGTACACATTGTATCCAATTGAGATCACTTCCTGTATCAACAATCAGCGAAAAATGCTTAGGAGGAGTACCTACATATACATCCATAAAGTATTCTCCTGAACCAAGACTAACCCCGGATTTCAAACTGCCCACAAGATGCCCTTGCAACACACTTACATCAGGCTCTTTTGCAGGCTGTTCTTCAAGTAACTGCCTATGATTCTGAAGCCTCGAATTCGCTTTCTGATTCTTATTCTCAGTAATCCTTCGTCGAAAAGTCTGAATTCTGTTAAAGTCCCTGAATGTAGACTCAATAACAGACTGCTTCCTACCCTCCTCCCCAACTGTCCTGTGTCTTAAAGGGAGTTTCACTAAATGTGGTTGTTTCTCCAATTTCTCTAGCTTTCCCTCATCATTCTCATGACTGACAACTACCCTTTCTTCTGATTCTGCATTGCTGTGATTCTGAGAAGCAGACAGACTGCTGCTGCAGCCTGAACCCGAACCCGAACCTGAAGAGATTACAGTATTGACATTGACATTTGTATTGAAGTTGTGTTCAGGCATTTCGAGCAACGAGCCATTCGAATTAAAAGGGTTGTGATCATGAATACTAGAGCTTGATGCTAGAATCAAATATGAAATTAGGACTAAAATCGCGGTATATATTGCTTTGGAAACCATAAGGATGATCTTTTTTTCTCTGACAAGAGAGAAAATCCCCCTGCATCAACAAATTGCTGCAAGATTTAGAAGCAATTCTCAATATAAAAACACAAATTCACCCAAAAAAACATAAGAAATCAATAACAATAGCAAAAACAGAAACAAACCAACAATAAAACTTCCATAAAATTTTAATAAATGTAACACAGTAGCATAAAATTAGCAGAAATTGAACTAACCTGGGGAAAAAAGGACAGAACTTTGAGCAAAAAAAAAAAAAAAAATCCTAGAAATTAAAATCCCTTGATTTGTTTAGTGGGAAACAAGAATCAACAAAAACCCAACTCCAAAAGAATTAAACTTCCAATCAAAAATGAAAAAAATTAAATAATTTACGAGATTTCAGCTCTTTGAAGCTGAAAGTTGAGGAAAGAGAAAAGTGGGAAATGAGAAAGAAACTATAAAAAGATTGAACTTAAATTAAAAAATATGAGTACGAAAGATATAGGAAAGAAAGAAGTAGTAGTAAGAAAAGGAAAAAGGGTTAGTCCAAACATATGATTTCAGTATTCAATTAATAAGAATAAGGTGGGTTATTCAAACCGTTGAAATTTCCAATTTCTTGGTCAAAATGAAGAACACCACATAGATAAAAGTAATAATAATATTATTATTTTTATAAACGCGTTTTGGAGATTTGCTACTTGTAGTATATAAATGACTATGTTCCCTAATTCACCTAGTGTTGTATTGTTACAAGTACGATTTATGTGTGTAAGATTAATCAATATTAGAGTCGTGTTAATTGATCTCGAATATTAACATGGGCTTATCAAAGCTAGTTCATTAGTCAAATGCCAATGCTAAATTAAAAGTATGGCACTAATAACTTTAAAATTACCTTGTGGAAATTTTATTGGGTGAATCTTCTTCGTCCTCCATTGATGACTGAAATAAGGTTTCACAATTTCACACCATATTAAAAAGACTAAATACTAAAAATGGTTGAAAATCTAACTTTATTTACAAGTTTTTCAGTGAGAATAAATGGTGTGGTTTTGTTAGAGATATGTGTTATCGGAAAATATATGTGTGATATATTTTCTGTAGATATCATTAAAGGAATAATATATTTAGGTTTATTTTATGTTAAGATATGATTTAGTGAATATATCATTAGGATATATGGTATATCTTATGGAAAGATTGTTTCCTATCTTATGAGTATAGGTTTTGTATAAATACTCAACTTATTGATGAATTATAATCAAGCAATACAAAAGCTATTCATTCTCTCTTCTCCCTAATTTATCATGGTATCAAGAGCAGGTTAAATCTTGGGACCGCTCACAAAAAATTTATTTTGACAGGTTTAATTAAGCAGTGTTAGTATATAATGGTAAAATGTTTTGACTTAATTTTATTTTTTATTTTTTTTGACAAATTGACTTAAAAGTTGCATTTATGGAATAAAAAAATAAAATTAAAAAAAAAAAGGAGTAGAAGACAAGTTAATTAATTGTAAAAACTAGCTTTCAAAAATTAATTGGAAAAAGTAGAAAAAGTGTATTGTATTTGCTCAAAGTACGCAGTTTTCCCCGCCAAACACGCAAGGGTATGAAGACCGTGGCAAGGGAGGAATTAGCCGTCAGATGGGCCCACTTTGCCCTCATTTTTTTGGCCTCCTTGAGTTTAAATGTTGGTATGTTGCTACCTACTTCCAGATAATCTCTTAATTAGGCATAATCAAAGATGATAATGAATTGATGGAATGATAGTTGTTGTCAAAAGTTACTTATATTTCATACTTTTGCTTAAAAAGCTTTTCTTTCTGGAAAGGGAAAGTGTTAGTATATATGCTTAGACCAATGGATTAACATGGGCAATGGGCGGATCAACATTTACTCAAAAATAACAATACTTAACTATTATATGTCCTACTTTTTATATAAATTTATTATGCTTCACATAACTAATAACCAAATACTACGTATTTAGAAAACTTAGGGGGTAGAGCCCTTACCCGTCATACCTAAGATCTATCCACCCCTAACTATGAGAGTCTAGTTGTTCTACTAGCGAGTCAAGGTCTAGAGACTAACCATTAAAACACTTTGAATATGCTTCAAAAGAAACCATTTCTATTTTAGAAAAATAAATAAATATATTCCAATTTGTGGACCACCTAAAGCAATTCAATACACGACCCAATCATCTCCCAACTTTACTTGTGACAACTTCCCGTCCTATGGCCTGTTCGCTTCAGCTTAATTTCACTTCACTTCAATTCAGTTCAGTTCTGCTCCAATCTGTTCAGTTCAATTTTTAATTTCCTTTTCTCATAAATAATTCATTTCAGTTTAGTTCTGTTTAGTTCAGTTCAGCTCAACTCAATTTAGTAAATGAGAACATACCCTTAGTCCATTGACTCAATTCACATGCTTCTCTACCCTAACATGGGTTGGAGTGGCCTAATAGCTTTATCTCAAACACGATACACTTTAAAGGGATACAAAACCCTTTGTTTAGGACTAGAGGCGATAAGGAGTTGAGTTGGGCTTTGACTAAAAAGCAAGGTCATTTAAGCTCCATTGACAAACAAGCCAAAACCTACTAAAATTGAGCCTATGAAGTGGTCTTTTGAGCTAAATCGAGCTAGAACGGATTTTGAGCTGAACAGCCATACATTTAATGCTCAAAATTGTTTTCTTAAAAATGCTATCCAAATGTGTCATTATTGGAGGTCTAGATATATTTGAATGGCTCTAATTAACACTCTCTTTGTCTCATAATATAATAACTGCATTTTTTTTTATGTTCCGCAATATTGTGTTTGTTTTTAACAATTCTGTATTTACTACCTCCATTGCATATTATTTGTAACATGAACTATATTATGAATTAGGAAGACTTCTTGCGTGGAATTAGGATAAATGAAGTTCATCTAAAAGCAAGTGTTCCTTCTTCATTCCGATGCTCAACCGTGATTTACCAATGCCATTTCCAATACGAGTACACAACAATGGATTCCTATTAGGATAGTATACCATTAACAAAAGTCAGTAGAATACTTGTCTGCTGTTTAGTAAAACAGTCGATTTGGAAAATGTGACCTAAAACAAATTTAATTAAATTACATGTACGATAACTGTAACTACCGTCAAAAACAGCTTGTCTTTTGCTTACAAATTCGTCAGAGTTGATTACAATGTCAGTCCTTTTATTTTAGGAGGAACAATTTATTTCTCCTATCTAGATGTTTGGTAGGTGGGAATTAGAGATTTGTATTGATTTTGAAAAAAATTCATTTACCAAATGTAAGGACAATATGACTTAATTCCAAATGAAGTAAAATCTATGAAGTATGGAGTACAGAGTACATAAGATGTTTACCTATTTTAAAGGACAAGTATCGAAATCAAGAATCTGAAACCGACAGATAAATCTTCAGACTACAGATATGGCAGTACAGTAGAAGTAATGAATTAAGCTCAAGATAACAGTAAACCAGACTTCTTCCAAGAGCTTATATAAAATGGTGGAGCTTTAAGAATCAAAGCTTAAACATTAAATGCTGCTTTTATGCATTAGATTCTTCAACTCAGAAATGAAACCTTCCTGTCATCAATTATATAATTACTTTATTCAAGTAATGTGAGTAATAAAAACCTAGGTTGCAATATTTTGCCTGTCTTGGCAACATTAACATTATCAAGCATAGTAACATAGCACATGCCATCCATTATTATACTAGATAATACGAGAGGATCATCACTGGTTCATCAGATAATGAACCTCGAAATACAGTAAATATCATTACAGGTGAGAAAAAAGTAAGGTTGCAATATCTTGCCTGTCATGGCAACATTAACATTATCACATGCACTCCATAATCAATGATATTACTAGAGGATCATCACCAATTCATCAGATAATGAACGTCGAAATACAGCAAATACTCCATATTACTTTCTTGGCTCTATATAAACACTAAAATTTCATTCTGCTGAAAAGTTGCATATATCATTTGAATTCATGAATTGATCCAATCATATACCTTCTCTGAACCCTCCACCCCACCCCTTCCCAAAACATGTGGCTACTCAAATCGAGCATATTCGTAGTGATATTCACTCGCAGGGAAATCTTTATATTCACTGAAAGGACAACTAATGTCAAATTGTTGTCAATGAAAACAATCGTTTTCATACTTTTATAAAATTCCTGATGGTAGGAGTTCAAAAAGAAACCACAGATTTTGGACAACTTATTGACTGCAGTTGTGATGAAGCAGTATCCTGGCCTTCAATGTCTTCAAAGGATATTGGCGCCCCTGTAATGGGCTTCCTACAAATTGAAAATGAAGCATGTAAGAGACAATGAAACAACGGCCCACAAGTACTAACATAGAATTTGACCTGTTTAAATAATTATAAAAAATCATAATATGAAATCATTGCTTATTCACAATTGCAGCACTCCTCAAGCTGCACCCTAAAATAAGCTATGCAAAGGGGCTTAGCAAAAATACTGTTGCAGACTTGTAGGTGTCCTAGCCATTCAGAGCTAGCTTCAAGTCTTCAACATATTTCAGGCCCGAATGAGTTTCATACAGTGCACCAAACTCAAAAACTCAAGTTAAAGAAAGAAGAGACAAAGCTTACCTTTGGGGAGCAACAGTCTCTTCAGACATCGCCTTTTCCAGCCTTTCCTCAAACGGAGTAGCATGCCAACAAACCTTCTGATCCTGAAAAAGATGCCAATGAATTAGCAAAGTTCCATAAGCAGACTAAAGCATACAAGCTGGCTTGAGAGTGAAGACAAAAACCTCTTTATATTTAGTTGTTGAATTTGGAATGCCATTACCATCCCATCCCTTTGGTGAAATATGAGAAGCTTCCTCTTGATCATTCCAGTGAGTAGCAACCAGCCCGATAATAGGCCTATCTCCAGGAGTTCTTCCAATTTTAGGCTTTCTATAGCTGGCAGCTCCAAGGTTATGGTGATCATCATCATACTTAGATGCTGGGGGCTTCAACCATGCAGATAAACTGACATCTCCAAGTTTCTCTTCATTGACTGAACATTTACTTGAACCCACTGCAGAAGGAGTAGCATTTCCTTGCTTTGATCCTCCTTCATGATCTGATGCATTTAGGGTAGTATCCTCTTCCTTCAACTCATCCAACTGACAAAGATTCTCAATTGGATTTAAGACTGTATAGACATACTGGGACCGTATTCGACCATTCCCTTTTGTTAGACTTTTCATATTTGTCGCAAACACGGTTCCTGGTGTTTGCATGTCATCACTTATTTTTACAGGAGTTGGATAAGGTGAAGATTTTAGCACACTCTGAGGTCTTTGAGCATCTAATTTCACTGAATTTTCAGCAAATGTTCCCACTCTTTGGACCTCATCAGGTGTCTCTGGTGAAGACTCCAGAACATTAGGAGAATTTTGCAAGTCAGGTCTCTCCAAAGTTTCTGCTTTTTGGATTTCAACTGGAGTGTCTGGTGAAAATTCTTGCATACTGCATGGTCTTTGTATGTCCGAATTGTCAAAGTTCTCCACAATAGTAACTCTTTTCCGGATTTCAGCCGGAGTCTCTGGCAGTGTACCACATGCTTTAAGGAACTTGGCCTGGTATCAACACATAGATAACAATAAACATCTTTAGGGAATAGACATCTGTACACCCACCCTCCCAAATGAAAGATCTGACTTGACACATTGAACAGAAAAGAGCATAATTGAATGAGCAACTCCTTGGCCTAAATTATCACCCCTTAAACATAAAATCATGGATAAGTCATAGTTGTCAAGAATTTCTAGATTGCCGTACTGTCAATCCTACAAGAAAATATTTCTTCTGTCGAGCACATTATAGACATAAAGATTGCAGATCAGTTGACTGTTAGACCACCAACATTTTCCAGTGCAGGGAATACTAGTGGACAAAGGCTCCTCAAACCAGCTAACATTTAGACTAGACAACAAACATCTCCATGAGAAATGAAAGCACATTTAATTGGACAAAAGGTATGATTCCACTAAAGAGCAAGGGATAAAGCTGTTGATATAAATGCTAGAACACTTTCAAGTTTCGACATTGACCCCATTTACCTTAACCAATAGAATGTGAGATAAGATGCAAATTTCTCAAGCTAACCTAGTTCATTATACGTACTGATAATACCAGAATTGTTATACTGTCTGGAATCTGATAGTTGGTTGATTCATCTACCCATATTGAATGGCTACTACCTTATTACAGAAATTAGATTGACTCGGTGATTGAATGCAAGTGTCCAACATAGGAAAGCTAATTATTGCTCATAGATCTGGGCAACATGTCAGCACATAGATGCATATCACGAACAATTTAAGCCCATGCACAATGACGAATCATGATAAGCATCAATGTTCTCCACAGAGTTGTTCTACTTGTTTAGCTCTAAAATTTAAATCCAGATATAAAAAAACAGAAGCATTTTATGATCAGACAGAGACAGATTATTGAAATGACTAATGATAATGCCATGAAACAATCTAGAATCAGAGTTATTCCAATCATCTATCATCACTACAGTAAGCTCATCCTAAATTCAATGAAAAAGACCATTACAATAGTGATTCCTGTACTTGTAATTTCACAATCACCCCATAATTAAAGCTCCCCTTTTTTTTCATAAATTCAACAGCTTCCTTTCAGCTGATTAGTAATAATTTCATAATCCAATTAAACATTCTACCATACACATTATCTCACCAGTTACACTCATTTAGTAAAAGCGACGAAAACTTACTTCTTCCACGAGTTCTTCATGGACATCGGATCGCCCCGCCCGACGCACAAGCACTTCATTCTCCGGCGCTTTCGCAGCAGTTTCATCATTTTCTGCACCAATTTCAGATAATGCCAGTTTAGAATGAGCAAATACTTTGCAAAATTCAAACATAATACATCAAATTAAGCCGAAAATCAAAATCAATTCACCTTCAGCTGTAAAAAGACTCGATAGACGAATCTTTTGTCGCACCTCTTCTTGATCACCAACCTAATCAAGAACATAATCAATCAAATTACTAAACCCTAAACCCTAAAAACAAATCAAATTTAAAAATGAACAAACTCAAGAATCAAGAAACTTACTCTTGCATTAGAAGTTGGAGAATCATGAGGAACAAGTTGAGGGCGAGGATTATTATGAATGTGATGATGTTGATGACGACGATGATGATGATGATGATTATTGTTTCGAACTCCAAAGCAATCGAAGAAGCAAGCCATTGCTTGAACAGATCGCCAAAGAAATCCCAAAACGTCGCAGTAAGTCACTGGCATGTCATAAGATGATGGGAAATTAGGGTTTCTTATAGAAGATTGATTTGGGGGAAATGTAATGATGAAGAAGATGATGATGATTGATTAGGTTAGGTTAAGCTGATAATCGAGTGTGACTGTCTGTGAGGTGAGGAGAGAGAAAGTGAAGAAAGTGTGTCTGAGAATCTGCGATTTTGTGCAATTACACTTGAAATCCGAAATTGCTGATTTTGCGTTGGGACAGAGAGTGAGACGTTTCTGCTCACTGATTTTGAAATTTAAACTATTTAGGAGGGAAACTCTTCCTCTCTCTTCTTCATTCTCTAGACATGGGCATGGGTCGGGTTGCGTGGACCCATGTGTTGTGTTAGCGTGTGCTATATCATGTTTATAATGAATGAATTATGGCTAGTAAAGTGGTTAAGAAGTTGGTTTGGGGCACTGGCCCATTGTGTTTGTGTCAATTTTTGAAAATGATGTTCATACACAACTCATGGCCCACTGACGTGTGTCTCGTACAGTGTTAAGTTCGTGGCAAATCAAGCCATTTTTGTGTTGTACTTGATTGGCCTTGAGAAAACCCAACCCATGCTTAGCTCCACTATTTTCTCTTTTTTGCTATATAATCCTTAAAACTTTAATCATATAGGAAGTATATGAGCTGAACTAAAATAGCTTAATTAACTATGTTTATTTTTTTATTTTTTTTTTATTTTTTTTGTGGGGGGGAGGGGGGGCTCAAAAATAAGGCTAAAAGAACAAGGTTTTATTTCCTCATCCCCACATATTCCATTTTCTCATTCTCCCTATGTTCATACTAAATGCCTCAATTTGACTAGTTTTACTTTTTTACTTATCAAGACTTAAACAAAATCTCAATGTAATTAAGTATTATGGTGTAATATAAATACTAAGCCAAAGTATCTATAAGTTTAATCCCTCGATATTAAGTGATATCGAGTTAATTATATTACTTAATAAGTATACAAGTATTGCATTAAAGTATTAAACTTATAGATACTTCGGGCATGTTCTCATAGACTGAACTCAATTGAACTGAGCTGAATATTTTATAAGAGAAGGAAATTAGGGGTTGAGCTGAACTAAACTAAACTGAAAATAAACGTATGAGAACAGGTCCTTCATCACCACATAAAACGCCCTTGTTGTAACCCCTAACTCAAAACATCCCACCCTTAACCCCCACCTCAAAAACAATCCCTCTTCCTACCCCATCCCAAAACAACCTCCACTGACCACACGCTTTCCTAGTTGCAAAACAACCCCCTCTCCTATCTCATTTGTGGGACTTCCCTAACCCTAGCCCAAAACTACCTTCACAACACATCATGGCCGACTCATACCATGTGCAGCCTAGGCCTCACATTATGAGAAAAGTATATACATTATCAGCTACAATATGTGGCATGCATATTCAATGTGGCTTAGTGGTTTGATGTTTTTAGTTACTATACATGAATTTATATATTTATTTCATTATAATGATAAAATTAATAGGGCAAATTTTATACTATGTACTCCATATTTGCATAGGGCCTCCAAAAAAGGTGGGACGACCTTGATGTACATCCATTGCCCTTTTGCACACACTAGTCGATGATGGGGAAAGGGAGAGGTTGTTTTGGTGGTCGAAAAAGGTAAGGGAAGGGGTAAGGGAGGTGGTGGTATAAAGAGGATGACTGTAACACCCCCGATTTACTAACTTAAAATAAATAAGAATTAAAGGAAAAATAAACAACCTTTAAATAAAATTGCTGAAGCATACTCTTAAATCGGAGGTATTACTGCCACACTCAACAACCTGTCAAGTGTTAAGGCTTACAAAATCCCAATAATTACAACCCAATAAACTAGGTGAGCTATTTATACAACTTTACAAACTTTTTATAAACAAACTAATCGATCACTTGAGCTCCTTTAGCTACGATCACTTGATTAACCTGTTTAAACAATCTTGACTGCTCACCATTAAGTACAAATTCCAAAATAGATCGTTGCAGGGCCACCATAAGAAAAGACATGGCCTCAAACACAAGTAGCACAACAAAATAACACACACGTCAGCAAAAAGTTGAGTAATCACCACATATCAGAATATAGAGTATAATAGGATAATCAACATTACTAGCTAGCTCAATTAAATAATGTAGTTCAAAACTACATAACACATTGTACTCTGAAAATAACCTTTATCAACTCAACCTCGAATAATAATAATCCTTTACTCAACTCATAACCAATAGTGTGCCATGCTCTTTGTTCAATACCTAGCCTTGGACATGGGTAATTCGAATAAAACCAACAAGTATAAAAACTTGAATACTCCCAATAATTAGAAAACACCTTGAACCAGACCACATACGGGTCAATTCCCACTGTAGGGGACCATAGAAAAATAAATAAAGATTGTACCTCATTCTTAACTCATGATTATTACCCTCTTACCAACAAGCAAAGGACTGAGTTATATAAAGCCGAGCCTCAAACCAAGAACAAAACAATAATTCTCAACCATTTGATCTCATACATCGATCAAATTAAATAACCATTCACATGATAATAAATAATATCTCAATATTGGCACAGGTTCCCAATTCATATATGACGACATATTCGGTTCATAAAATATCTCAACTCTTATAGAACTAATACTAGTACCCAAAATTAATCAAATCTCCACCCAAAAATAATACTCTGCATTAACAACCCTAAAACCTCGATAAAACAATACTCCCTATAACAACAACATTAAAAAACCTAACATATTTATACGATTCATCATATACGTACAACAATAATAACAAGCTAGACATTAAATCTGATTAAATCATGAAATTGTATACATTAATCATACATATAAATTAAAGCATATGAACAATTAATCATTCAATAATAATATAAACAACTCCAAAATAGAAACGTGTGATTACCGTCACAGACATACAATCTTCGTTTTGCTTGATCTGACGAGGAGAACATCACACTTTCTTTCACATCGTATAATTAAAATCTCATGAATATAAGATGCTTATTCATGCGCACCAACACCCAATAGTTGACTTTGATTTAGCAAATCAATTGATGATAATTTGCATTATCATGTTAAAGGCAAAAGTAGTAAACTCAATTTTTGCAGAGTACAGCGTTGGGGTAAGCCGAGGAAAACGTAATATAATTAGGGTATAAGAAGTATTTATAGTTTATAAACAAGACTTTTATAAGATATAAAATAAGGTTTCAAACTTTCCAAAAATAAACTACGTAGATAAGGAAGGTTACTTAATAATTAAAATAACTTAATTTATACGTATAAATTTATAAAATATTTAGGTATTACAATGACGGGTGGGAAGGTGGCTAACATGGACGCATATGGGGTTATTGATAGGAGTAAAGGGGAGAATTAGATGAAAAAGTTATTTGCGTAATAAGTTATTGGTCACCAACACTTAATAAGAAATTACCCCTAAAGTATTTAATGTTGAGGTTATTAATTTTTTTTTTCCTATTTATTATTCTTACAACAATTTAAATTTGAAAATCATAACATTTGTCGTTAAATGGAACTCTTTTAATCTATAAAAATGTTTAATAATTACATATTAGAACAAAAATCTGGTGAAAAATAATTTACAAACAAAGTGATTTCGAGGTTATTTTAAGTCAAGTCACAAGTTGGGTAAAGTCAACACACCAAAATTATTATCAATCAGGGTTGAGTTGACACCATATTGCAAATTGTGAATTACTAGATGAGTTAGATTGGTTGTTTGTCAGGTTAAATCGGATTTTTTCTCAAATTGAGCTTTATTGGTAAATTATTTACCAAATTGGTCTCGTGGGAAAAATATTTCCCAAACTAAGCTTCTGGGGTGAAACGCTGTCTCGGACAGCGTTTTACACCCAGTTTTTTTTAAAAAAAAATTCAAGAAGTAAAATGCTGTCTCAGACAGCGTTTTACCTTGTTGACCTGTTGGTATGTATTTTGGCAAAATATACTAGTATATTTTGCCAAATTATACTGGAATATGTATATGGGCTTTAAAACGCTGCCTGAGGCAGCGTATTATGTTGAAGCATAAAACGCAGCCTGAGGCAGCGTTTTATTTGAAGCATAAAACGCTGCCTCAGGCAGCGTTTTTCTGCTAGACTGCATTACCAGCAGCATCTGCTACACTGCATCACCAGCAGTTTCTGCAATCTGCTGCTGCCCCTACACATAACCCTCACCCAGCAGCATCAGCTTAGCCCCACCATGAACCACCACCCCCACCACCATCCACCACCATCAACCACCTCCCCCACCACCACCGGCCGCCACTCTCGACCACCCCTATGCAATGCAAAACACCCTAAACAACGCAAGGACATTCCCACCACCCCCATCATTAACCACCACCCCCACCACCATCAACCACCTCCCCCACCACCACCGCCCCCCACTCTCAACCACCCATAAACTACCATAAAACACCCTAAACAACGCAAGAGCATTCCCACCACCAGCCCCAACCTTTCCACCACCATCGACCACCACCGACAACCATCAAACACCGAAACAACCCCAACAGCATGATAACCATCGTGAAACAGCACTTTAAGTGCAAGAGACCAAATATATGCTGCTTGATACATATAACGGATATAAAAGATATAGTTTCACTAACAAAAGTCAAATTCGGACAAATAAGGGAAATAAACTTCAAATTGTACAAAGAGTCATTTAGAAAACATTTCTTGTATTAATAATGTAAGCGTTATATACAACATTGTTAAATATCTGAGTACCACAAAAGGATCAACTAACTAATACTATCCGGACTCATGTATTGGAGTTAACTGATCTCCATCCTGTGTGTCCTCCGTCCGTCTACGAACACGCCTCGGACGCCTCGTGTAATGCTGAATGGTGGTGAATGGGTCTCGGGACGGCGGAGAAGTCAGCTGGCGAGACGATGAGTCATCCTGGTTGTGGCCGGGAGCGGTGTTATGGATGAAGTAATCCTCTGCCTGTGTAGAGCCCGAAGTATGACCTCCACCACTACTCTGTCCGAAGTCGAACTGTGAATGGAAGGAGTTGGGGTCATGATCGTCCCTGGGGTGGACGAGATGGCCATGGCCATATCTCTGCAAGCTATGTATGCCCATATCTCGCACCCGCTCAACCTGGGCTCTGGTGGGTACGGCTGCTAAGGCATCTGAAAGTGCATCAACCATCGCACCCATATCCTCCGCCTGCAGTAATCATCCATGAATTAGTAATATGATATAGAATTTCAAATAATTTTGGAA